ACCGACTTAAATCTACAGATATTGAGAGAAAGGTCTCTGCCTCACTTTTTCTGCTAAATAATGAGTATGATTCTTCTGAGAATCAATACACTAGAAGCTTTCTAGACAGTAATTCTCCAGTTCTTCAGTTGCTCATAATGTGTGTGTGTGTATATATATATATATAGCAATATATCTCCAGACTCCAAAAATCCATTTTAAAGAAACATTTCCTCTTAAATGCACATCACTGCAAAGGTTTTATGTGTGCAGACCAGTGCAAGCTGAAGAAATATGATTAATTTGCACATGGCTGGGCATGTAACATCACAGCTTTGCAATATAGCATTCCCAGAGCCAGAATTACATCCATGTATTTCTGCTGTATTATTGCTTGAACTAGCCCATATTCTGCTTAGGTCTTAAAGCAAAGTGTTTATAGACACCTGCAAAAATGTAATAATGAAAAGTAAATGCAGAAGCCTTAGCTGTTTGAGAGATACTGAAACATTTTTTGATAGAAAAACACAATAGGTTTGTAGGGTTTAAATCTAAGGTCCATTTCACAAGACCAAGTATGGTTATAGAATAAAAACATATTCATTCAATGAAACTATGTGTTATTTCCACAACCCTTAACTCATTAATCCTCATCTCAAGCCTGCTCCTCACCACCCTATCCCAATTAGATCTCCTTTTAGTTTTTGTTTCTTCCTTGCCATCACTCTTTTGTTTCAATTTCCCAGCTTAATAAACATAACTTGTAGTAATTATCTATATAGATATTGCTTTAAAACAGGGAAGTGTGGGAACCTTGGTCAGAAATTATGGTTTTTTATATGATAGCCTTTTTTCCAAATCTGGTGCTCTTTGCAGTGTATAAAAACATTCATCTCCATGAAAGAAGTGAGAAAAAATAGCAAGACAGGATTTTAATCAATACTGATCTTGATTGAGTTTGATCACAGCACTTGACATTTTGAGCAAGTCTGGAAGTACACTCACAGTGACTCAGGCTCTGCCAAGAGTCTTTAGAGGTGTAACGGGACATCATTGACTTAGGTGGGAATATTCTACTTTTTTTGTTTTCCTTACACACCTATGATAAGGCAATAAAATGCATTAACTTCATTTTGTAGTTAATCTTCTTACCAAAGCTTCAGTAATGCTGTTTTATTGGTGATTTATTTTAGGCTTTGCTTGTCTTCTTTTTTTTTTTTTTGACAGAAGGAAAATGGTTTTATCAACATGCTTAAAAACAAACAAACAAACAAAACCCCCAAAAATTAACCCCCCCACACAAAATTATTAAGTGTTTGAGATCATTGTTTTGAAATTAAGGTCATCAGATGCCGTCAAAATATACCCAGGGAGCTGGTGCAGGCATGGATAATGTGTCACTTTTAGAAAGAGCAGTATTCATTTATACTCTCATATGGACATATCAGGGAAAGTTGTAAAGAGCAGATTTTTTTCAAGGTGCAGAAAATGAGGTTCATAAAAACATGCATTCACTAATCACTCTGTGTATAAATGAGCAGGAATGTTGCTAATGGCTCCTTCTCCTCTAGAGGCCCATACTACAGCATTAAAATGTGAGTGGGACAGATGTAGACACCTAAGCTTGATGGGTCTGGGATCCAGAAATGATCTTCTGCTCATTGCACCTATTTCTTTTTATCACTGCATATTTATAAAAAAACAAAGCTCAGTTAATTAAAAAAAATAGGTAGAGATGCAAAGCAATCAGATTTTTCAAGCTAACTTTCCCAGTTTTTAACTGATTTTCTGAGACGGTCAGGCTCCTTCTCCTCTTTATCTCTGAGGACTCATTTCCTTCCTTCTCATGTATGACAAAAATCTTTTGGAGCTACTGAATCAGGAAGACTCTGCTCTGTGTAATTCTCATATTGCACTGAGCACTGCTGTGTTTGAGGACTTCCAAGGAATATAAGTGATGTGACTAACTTCTATCATTTGCTTTGGTTTGGGTTTCTTCTCTCCTATCCTTCTCCAGGATGAGGAGTTATTCACTGTTTTGTTTGGATTTGTTGGGAGTTTTGGGGTATTTTTTGTGATACAAAGGTGTATTGTGGTGTGCTTTTGGTAGAGAGAAAAGGTTAAAGTCTTGCACTATAACAAAGGTAGCAAATTTTGGAAGACCTATCAATCCATGTGGGAATTCATTAAAAATTTTAGTTGACCAAAGTCCCCAAGAAATCTCTGCTATCTGCATAGATGAGCTGTACCCTTCTTATAGAAGTCCTAGTCCACAGGGAAGGAAATATGTTCCTGATGTCTGTCTTGGGGATCTCTGCAGCTACCATGGGCTCAGGTCATTGAGTATCATCAAAGTGAAAATTGCCACTTTTGGTTCTCAGCCTCAGCTCACAGTGTGTGCCCACTGCTGCTGATGCAATTAGAAGGTAAACTTGAATGACTGTCACTGTATGAGAACTGATAAATTACTTCGTTAAAAAAAACAGACATAAGGAAAAACTAATGTGGGATTCAAGTAAGAACAAAATGATTATGTTTACCAAGCAAAGGGTTGGATAAATGTGGGAGAAGGGGAGGTTTCTTTTATGAACTCTGATTATCTCATGGGAAAAAACCCTGACATTCATACTTAGATCAGAACAATTTGAGCTTTAAGGCATTCTTTTAATCAACAAGCTCATCTGATGAAATGCTGTAGGATTTGCTTATATATCAAAGGAGTTCCCTAGAGATTTAAGCAATGTAACTGAATGCAATTAAAAGATCAGTTGTAAACACCATTTGTGATACAGTTTGTTTGCTGTGCTTTGTAAGATAAGTTTGGTTAATAACACATGAACCTGTGTTGGTTGACAAGACAGTAAAGTATTGAACTGTAGTGCAAGAAAAGGATTACCCTAGGAGCCTGCTAGAGATGCAACCATTCAGCTATCTTGGATCTGATGGTCTGTAAAAAGAGAACAGAGAAACTATTATGCCAAGGTTCACATCCAAGAATGGAATCATTTATGAACAACCTTTCTGGGCCTAATTCGTTGCTGAATTAAACCTCAAGTAATGTCATTGAAGTCAATGGGGTTATGCAGGGCATAAGTCAGTGGAGCAAATTAGCTCTCTGTCTTGAAGCCAAGAAACAAAAGGGAAGAGGGATCCAATAAAGGAGAGATGAAATGCTGATATTAGCTGAATGCCACTTCTTGGTACAGTGTGTTCTTTGTGTCCAGCAGTGAATATTTCATCCTTCCCAGGTGTAAAATCTTCCCAGCAGCACTGTAAGGCAGATTTATAATAAATGACAAAATTAATGGTTTAGTTCCGTTGTAATGCAGCTTCTAGGATTCCAACAGGAATTTAAACTGTGAGCAGACAACACATATGCCTTCAGTGTGATCTCCAAATCCAGTCTTGATTTTTTTAGGAAAACCTTCAGGCTGACCTTTTTTTCCCCCTTTTGCCATCTCCTACCCATACAAATATTAGAAGGTAGCATTTGTAGGTATAGGTAGCTTTCTACATAGAAAACTGACAGAAATTACAGGAATATCTGTGTAAGAGCTGGAAAAAACTAGGTATAGTCACTGCCTCAGGTATGAAGGCACTACAAAATATAATGGATTTTTTTGCATTTAATTTATATATGGGTAATATTAAGGGCTCTAAGAACCCACAGTATTGCAGTGATTGTACAAATGCCTTGGATTAACAAAAAAAAAAATCCATTTTGACTAACCAGCATTCATAATACATGGTCTCTCAAATTTCACTTCTTCTACTGTCCAACCACTGATTACTCAAACTGAAGTCAAGATCATCATCTCCCTCAGCTGGAGATTATGGGCTTTGCACCACTCCCAGAGAGCTCACTCCTGGCTGAAGCCTCTAGGCATTTTTATTATCCATATAAAGAGCAAATTCCCGAAGTGTACAGATGGTTTTGCAGCTCATGAAAATATCTCAGTGAGGTGGCCTGTGCAGAATGACACATTTTGGCAGCACGGCTCACTTTTCTCCACACAGAGATCAAATAACTGGAATTCTTTAGACATCCTGCCATGCAAACTTCAGTGATGAGCTAAAGGATGAAAAATTTCTTATAATGGAGTAGAGAAAACTCTTCAGACCTACATGAAAGGAAGTTGGTTAAAGCAGGCAACATGTGACACGTGTTGCTGCTCCAGTATTTGTTCTTTTATTTCTGCAACAACACAACTTGCTGGAAGGACCAGCAGCTGACTCAGATGACATTTGGCCTGTTGCATGTATGATATTGGCCATTTATTCCTTTTTTTATTATCGTTTTTTTTTCAGGTGGTACTTCAATAACTACTCCAGATTTTCATTTTCTTTAAATCCCATTGCTCCTGTTTACAATTCAATTCTGGGCATGCTCTGCAGAGAGGATTGAAAGGAACAAGATACAAATTTGCCAGCTGCTATGTGAGATGCTGATGTAAACACATTCAGGACTATCCAAAGTGACTTGTGTTACGAGCCTTGGAGACTATTGCAGATATGGGAACAAGTTCTATTAATTCACAGCCCTAATTTCAACTGATAAAATATCATTAAAAGCTGGTTTACAAGTGCGCTGAATTTGTCCTTGATTTAGTTGGCACAGTTCTGATTTAAAAAAAAATTCTGCTAGAGGGCCAGGTTTTGTTGGGTAGCAAATCTGATTTTGACAGAAATATTTACATTTTCAGTAGCTAAAAGCTCATCCATCCAAATACTCATCCATTTTTGTTTTTTTTTTTCAATGATTTAAAAGATGTTAACTAGGTATTGGAAAAATTTTGATCAATTTTTGGAAGTTTTATTGAAGGATGTGTTTTTCAAGAAAGATGCAGAATTCCCCTATTTCTAATTAAAATTATTAAACTGTTGTGGAGAATTATCTTTACCTCCTCAAAGGAAGTCTGTTGAATTTTGTTGTTTCTATTTCTATAGTCACTTTTCTAAAGCCATCTCTTGTTTCTCTATGGTATCAGTCTTACATCTAACACTATTACATTTTGTTTCAGCTGGCAGGCTTCATCTATGCCTGTTATGTTGTGAAGTGTATTACTGAAGAAGAGGACAGCTGTAAGTACTAAAGCTTTATTACATACAAAATGAATTCTTTTTTTCTTTTTTTTAATCACCTCTCCACTATGCTGGCTCTTGCTGACTTCAACCTAAATGCCATATTATACTGTAGCCAGTTTATGTTTTCTGTCCATCCTTCTTGGTCTAAAATCCGGAAATTCTGAGACAAAGGAGGAATGAAATACTGGTTTAAACATACACCTCTCTCCTGGAAAGATCATTGCAACTCTTTATCTCATTACTTATCTTAAGACATAAAACAAGGGGTTTTTTGGTTTTTGTTTTTGGTTGGGTTTTTTTTAATAAAAAGAAAGAAAGAAATCTCAATTATATCTCAAATACAAGTTGGTTTTTTTTTCCTTGCACCAGGCTTTTATTAACTATATTCAGAGTAATTGGTTACAACTGAAGTTATAGTTCTTTTGTGTTGGCATTTATGTTGTCCTGTAAAAGCAATTCTGGCAAAAAAAAAATTACTTTAGATCATTGCAGGACTTTAATTTATGAGAGGTTAAACAGTAGAGCTCCTCTTTGTTCCTCTTTGTTCCTACTCCTCCCAGGGTGCACTTACATGAAGTGAAATGATTTCATATTGATGTAGATTTGTGTTTCTTCTGCTTATTTATATCAATAGAATCCTGTTGAGCAAAATTTGCTCTTATTGCATTCTGTAGAGTCAACCCATTTCATTTTTTTCTCTACTCTAACCCAGACTTTTTTAAAAATGTCCACTGCAGCATTTCACTACATCTTGGGATTCATACTAAAGCACTTTAGAAACAAGTATCAGAACTGCATGTAACTTTGATAAAATATACATGAATCCTAGGGAGAGCTCTGCAACAGGAAGCTAAAGGGTTTTTATTTGATTGAGAGCACTGCTAGGACTGGTGGGGGTTCCTTTGTGTGTTCTCCTGTGTGGAAAATAGCTACAACCCTGTAATCTATTGGCAATACAGTGTCACTGTGAACCATCAAGGGGAGATTTAATGCTGAAATCAAACCACCACACTTTGGAGGTCGTTTTGACTATGCTCATTTCAGTTGTCTTTGTGTTTCTGTGGAAGCGAGGAAGGTATAAAGAGTACAAAGGGGTTGGGAAGCTGTGTGGAGCAGGGCCATGTCGCAAATAGACTTTTCTGTTTAGAGAAGTACTCTGTCAAATGTATTTTCTCCTGCTTTCCCATTAAGTGCATTCATTATCCACAGAGTTGAAGGAGAGTTATTCCTTGTCCCCCAAAAATGGAATCCCATTCAATACTGTTCTGCCCTCTCCTCTAAGGGCTTAAATATTTTTTTCACTATTCTCTAATGCTTTGGGGCACTATGAAATAAGTAAAAAGCAAGGAAGGGACTTGAGATTTGGCTCACCAATCAAGCGCAGAAGTCAGAGCACATTTGGGAGATCTCTCCCATGGTTCATAAAGCAGCATTCCTGGCAGGAATGCCACAGCCAATATGGTATTGTTTTCTTCTCTCTGCACCAAGAGCTCCCTGTTGTTCAGCAGCCATAGATTGTCATGCTTCTTTAAATATTTTCTTGCTATCACCTTGACTATTGTGTCATTACTTTTGTCATTTAGATTTCATTATTACTTTGTACACCCCAGCCACATTCTCCTCATCCAGTCAAAGAGCACCTCACCCATCTGCCAGCGTCTCTCTGAGGCACCAGGGTGAATCCCCACCCAGTGCAATGATGCCAGCACAAGCTCAGGTGCTGCAGCTTCCCCTCTGCTGAGGTTTGGAAGCTTGGCTGGCCAAAAAGGGAAAGGGAACGTCTGTGGCTGAGTTGTGCCAACAGTGTAATAATCCTCAGATTGGATCTGGCCCCTCGAGGTATCATAAAATTAAGACAGCTTCAGTTTCTATGGAGAGGCCTCATGAAGTAGCAAGTAAGAATGATTCTAGTTCTCTCTCTGCTCAGACATCCACTGACAGCCAGAGCCTGCAGTCTATACAAATACTCCCTGCTCAGGTTTAATTTAAAATTATTTTATTTTTTTAGATACATTTTCATGCTTTTTCCATCCCTTTTGGCAACACATGCATCTATCGTGCTCTTCTGAGAAGTGTATCCCTTATGGATGTCATGTCATTTAGTATTTGTAAGGATAAACATGTTGGGTCATACCAAACTCTCATTTAGTCACAAGTCCTTTCTGATGAGACAGAACCAAGAGAAAAAGCCTTTTGCTTTTCACGATGGACAAAGTGAGCACCCATACACTCAATTCCATTTCTTCTGCTTTGCTAATGGGCCATGGGAACAACAGCAGTCCAAAAGAAAAGCAAAAGAGGCAGAAACACTGAACTTGGCAGAACTGAGCAGCAAGGCATAAGACCGGAGAAAAAGCCATGCAATGTCCAAGAGCCAAACCCAGGCATGTTCCAGATTTTAACCAGATGAAGATATTGACACTGCTCTGGAGTATGGAAAGTGTCTCATCTCCTGTTGGCACAGAGCCTCAACTGTAAAAACACAGTCAAGTTGCTCTTAAGCTGCTTCAGCTGAATTAGCTTTGCTCTCAAAGTAATTGGAACAAGCTGAAAGAATTACTATTTCTCCATTCCTTATGCAGATTTTATTAAGAGAAAAAATGAAGTAGGGTAGAATTAAGCAAACATTTCACTAAGATTAACCTGCTCTAATCTCACTAAAGGATTAAGAATGGAACAATACAGTGATAAAATCATGGTCATAACTAGGACTGAATCAGCAAGCCTAGAGGTTTTAATTACTCACACCCCAAATAAATCCAGCTGCATGGCCCCTAAATCAAAGCTCAAGCCTGTGCTACCTTTCATGAGAACAATCTGCTTTGGTTAATTCTGCACCAAGGATTAAAGAGGAAGTTGCTTTGTCTCCTGGTATGACCCCAGAAGTGCTCTGGTGCACACCAGAGTCAAACTGCAGCACTCATGTCTTCCCAAGGGGCAGACAAGAGCAGCTTTTCCATGGCTGCTTCTCTCAGTGGAGGTTTACCACTCCCAAATATTTTCCCTGTGGATGCATAAGAAGGTGGAACTCTGAAGGTTGGAGTGCCTCTGGTCTTTTTCTGGGAAAGACAAGGGAGTGCAGGTCCCTAGCAACATTGCTGCCAGCTCTACACTCTCTTCTGTCACATTCACATTTTCTGAAAAATGCCTTCACCCAGGATTTTTCTCCTGGGAAGCTGAGAAGCCCCAGAGAAAAATGGAAACAATAATCATCTCATTTGCTTCTCCTCTGTTTTGCTCATCTGGAATGTGTTTGGAGATTGTTTACCCATAGGTGATTGTTTCATTGGTTTCTGGTGTGAGTGTTTACACTCATTGGCCAATCAGTGCCAAGCTGTGCTGGGACTCTGGAGAGAGTCGCAAGTTTTCATTATTATCTTTTTAGCATTCTGTAAGTATCCTTTCTGTATTCTTTGGTATGGTTTAATATTCTTTAATATAATATAGTATCATAAAATAATAAATTAGCCTTCTGAGAAAATGGAGTCAGATTCATCATTCCTTCCTGCCATGGGGGTCCCAGCAAATACAATAACTCCTCTTCACCACTGCCATTGGAATGCCTAAGCCATTGCCATTCTTAGCTTATTAGCATTATTAGCTGCAGCAATTAAAAATAAAACATGAAAATGTCAGCAACAGCCATTACTTGGAGGCATTCAATGACTGTGAATTTGTTGGAGCTCCTCGTTTTTCTCCCAAAATCATGTTAGGCCTGCATTTTTCAAAGGCTGCACATTATTTTTAATAACATCGAAACGTTCCTTTAATGTGCATTTGCTCGCTAGCAATTTGGCTCCCTGCTATAAGCTGCTACTGCCTTGCTAAAAGAAAATTCAACATATTTCTGAAAACTTCATTAACTGTATAGACATTTTGCGGGGAACACTGGAATATAAGCAGTCAAGCAGCATCCTCCCAGGGCTTTTTGTATCTAGCAATTAAGAAAGAAACCTAGGTTACGGAAATGAGAATGTTGCACTCACAGGTTCTGTTGAGAGTAAGGAGATTTGCTTGTTACTAGAGGAACAGCTTTGGCTAGGAATGAACCTCAGCTAAGAGAAAATCTCTAATTTAGTCTGTGTCTCAGTGTAAAATCCTAACCTAGAAGGCTCTCTTGCTGACCCAGAGAGGGAGCAGAAATAGCGTTTACCTACTATTAGGCAATGGCAAGGCTATCAGAGAACAAATATGGCCCCTCTGAATGTTCCCTTGTGTACCATGAGGTACAACCTTTGCACCACCTGATGCTAGCAGGGATCCAGCCTGCACATACACTTTCTTCTTTTCTCCTGGCATTGTTTCCAGTTAAACTGCAAAGCAAAAGAAATTGCAACTTTGTCTAGAAGATTTTTGCTGCATATTTCCTGGAACCCTGCTACAGGGGATGTCTTGGCACAGAAGTGAAGCTCTATATAACCCTTTAAAATTCTTTCACTCCTCCCCCTCCAATAAAAATTCTGATTAAAGACCGCATTTGAATTACTGAAAATGTTCAGCAAGACAGCAATACCCTAGATAGGAAATATCTTTTGATAAACAATAAAGCATTATGTGCCAATCAACTTGGTGCCAAACAATATTCCACTCTGGGATCCACGCTGACCTGGGAAGTACAAAAAGTGATGACAAAGATTTTCTTTTAAAAGACAGTATTAAATCCATTATATGTGAGAGATGCGAAATTTGGCATGCACATGGGATAGACAGAAAAACATTTTCTTTTTATCTCTGTTATAGGCAATCTTCCACCTTTGGGCAGGTTGTTTAACCTCTCCATACTTCTGTTTCCCATATTTAAAATGGGAAATAATTGCAGGGACAAACTCACAGGCGTGTTGCTTCATAACTTTGAGCGTCTGGGATGAAAGCACTATTGAAGTGCAGAATATGCTCAGGTATCGCTTTTTTTCTGTGCCAAATGCTTGTCACAATCTGCTTAGTGAGACATTACAGAGAAATAATACCCCAGCTTCCATTCCTGCTTAAAAAAATCT